GTAGTTTACAATTTTCTATACCTCTTACCAGTTTCTGTCTGGCTACACTGACTTGCATGCACCTGTAGTGCTCTCTCTTACTGTTTCATATGTAAGCTCTTTGTTTTCTTTGAGATCACCTAGAAAGTCTTTGTAAAGATGGACCAGGAGAGAAGATCCCTGTTTCCTCTCCTTTGTGCTGAGAGCAGTCGTCTCCCTTTAACTCCTGATTCTGTCTTTCTCCTTTGCTTCTGGCTTCATGCCATCAGTTCTGGTGCCCTTTTCAGCTTCAGTACATCTCTTGAAGTCACCCGTCAAATGACTTCCATTCAGACTCACTGTAAACCAATTTCTAGCATATCTTCATCCTTTTCAAAACTTCTCCCATTTCATGAACTATTGTCATTCCTAGTCCTGTGTGCTTCTGTCCGATGTTATCAGGATTATAAGATTGCCTCAACAGGAACATCTTTTTCTTTGTAAGGTTCAGAACAAATTTACTGATGTCATGGGTGTTCATATATTATCTTTTCTGTGGAGGGTTCTTTCATGTAGGGAATATTTCACACAGGAAAAAAATTGATTACCAGATTGATATTTTTGCACTCGGAGACAACTTCATTATATATAATTAAATAAAATTTTATGATTCTTACTGTTTTTTGTGTGTTTATGTGTTAGATGTTGCTATGTATAGATGCTCCGTAAGGTCAGGTCGGAGTGGCAGACCTGGATATTAAACATACTGAGATTTGTGATGGTCGGTGGTCTTTGTCCCTGTTTTACTCCACGTTTTTGAATTATCAAATGAGAGAAAACCCAAGCTCGGGAGAGAACTCTTCATTGGTGGTGTTCCAAGCTCTTCATGCAAGAGGAACATCATTGTTGATCCAAGTCTCTGTTTTGGAGCTTTAAGCAAGTGTGAGCCCCAGCTGTGAAGCACTTTGAATGCAAGCCCCAGAGCACTGCACTGTTGTGGGTTCTTCAAGAGGGTGCTGGAGGGAAAAGAAACCTGTCTGCTGTGGTGGCAGTAGTGGGGATTAGAGAGAAGACACAGCACACTGCTTTTAATCTTGGAGAACCGAATGTCTCACGTTCAAGTATATTGCATTACTATAGAAACCCATGAAATGACAAGTATGTGAATAACTGGTTCTACCATCCAGTGGAAAGGAATGAAATCCCATAACTATGTGGAAGTGATGGCAAGTGTTATTTTCTGTCTTGTATGAAAATGTAGTGCCTGAAATGTATCCAGAAGTACCTGGATTAGCCATCTTTGTGTACCTCCAATTACAGCCACAAGCTGGTCCACCCATATCTTCTCAAATACTGATCACCACCATGAGCATCACTTTGCTTGCATTTCATCTGTGTTAACCATTGTAAGCTGTCAGCTAACTAGTAGTGGTGCATCACTTGGGGCAAAGGCTAGGTGGAAATCTCTCTCACCTGCTATTGCTGCCTGTTCAGCTTCATCTAATCTTTCTCACTGAGTGGTTCACACAAGGTTAAGTTACATGGGGCATCTGGAAACAGTGTTATAATTCGTGTGGCTAATAGTATTTCAGTACATTGAAATACAATGTACTCCACACAACTAGGAAATTATTTTGCCTGGAAAAAAATATCTGCTATGATTTTTTATCATTTGTGTCTCCAGCTTGCTCTGAAGTCATAATTTTCCCATCCTGTAGCACTGTACTTGCCTTTAAAACTGATGTATATTGATTATACAAGGTGGAAAAGGTACTGAGGCATAGAAGTAAAAAATCATGATATTCATAGAAGTGTTCTTTTTTTTTTTTTTAACCATGCAAGAATATTTCATAAATATCCCGTGGGGGGGCAGTTCAGCTTGAGAGTTTCTTGGGCTTCTGGTTTAGGTTATTTTTTAAAGACATAACATTTATGAGGTCATATTATTTCATTAATTGTTTCTCAAATTCTCTCAAATTGCTCAAATTAACTTCCAGCCTACTGACCAGTTTTAACCATATGACAACAGAGTGTGAATTTCAAGAATATTATGTCCTGAGGCCTCCTTTACGAAGGATGGGGAAAAGATAGTTCTGTGGGGGAAAAAAAAAGAAAAAAAAAAAAAAGCTTTGCAGAAGAGGTGAAGGAAAATAATAACTTTAGGTTTGGCAATGAAAAATCACAGAGAATATACTGAAAGATTGGGTTGAAGAAGAGGGAGAAATAGAAATCTGTGCCAGCAAACTAACTTTGCTAGTTTGTTTTTGAAATATTCTTCTAAACACTTTGACACCAGAAGCAAAAATATTTTTTGTTATATTTCAAAGACTGTGATCACATTGAATAGCAAATACACATGCTATTATTAACTGAATTGGCACAGGTGAAATAGATACCTAAGTATTTTCTTGACTATAAAAATTTACTTTCCTCAGCTTGTTTACAAAACGTAGATGAGACACAGTAGTCATCTTTCCACTTCCAAAGCTTGAAGGGGAAGCAGAGAGACAGTATCATCATATTATTCATACCTGAAAAAGTTTTGCTGAGTAACATCAGACTGAAACTATCAAACAATCATGCAAGAACTCTGGTGTGGTACGATTTAATGTCCATTTCTACAGCCATTTAGCTTATATATAGAATACTGAGGAGGGTTAAGAGAAATAGAGAATCTGTGGCTGAAATCCTAGCTCTTTAAAAGTTTTTCACAATCCTGATTTTATCATATTTTTTTTTAATCATGCTATAGTTTTACCCACTGAAGTGCTAAACATGGTGAAGATGTATTGTTCTGCTGATTTCATAGTTCTTTTCTTAACAAATACTTCTGTAAACTCTGAGTTAAGCAATCTTTAGATCTCCTATCAATATTTTATTTTTGTAATAGAAATCTTTTTGGTACCAGCTTTTGTAACTGTGCATTTTAAATAAAACTGTTATAAACAGTCGTTTAGAGGTTCTGTTTCTGATATAGTTTTTAAAAATGCCATATATATTTGCTCTTGCTCTAAATGTTAAATATCATTGCACATAATGATGCGAACAGATGGTATGCTGCATAAGCTGTTTATCATTTTACACATTTATCACTTTACATTAGTGAAGTGTACATGTTTAATTATTTTTTTTTTTAACTTTTGTTTTATTTGGAGGTCTATTTATTTTTTGGCATCATTAGAGGATATATTCTAATCCTTACAGACTTTTGTCCTTAAATTTTAACTCCAGCAAAAATAGAGTTGATGCAAACTCTAGTTTTGAATTACATAAACTTTTTTTTTTCCTGTGGAAAAGGATTACCTGGTTGAGGTTTTAATACTGGAAGGTCTTTCAGAAGCAAGTGGATAACTCTGTTTGCTAAAATGCATTAGACAAATTAAATGCAGATGCCATTGGTCTGGCTAAATACATGTAGATACCGTATCTTGGCATTAAGTAGCAAATGCTAAGAAGGTGTAAAATACAACAAAACATCAACAGTCCTATTCACATCAATACTTATTTATATCCTCCATCTGCAGAATAAGAGAACTTCATACTTGCCTGCTCAGCAGGTCTGGATGCTCAGCATGTGCTGCACCTATGTCATTTTATATGAAACTTAAAACAAAAAAATCTCAAAAGGCATTTCAGGCTTACAGACATAGTACACGAGTAGTGCTTTGAGACTTTTGACTGCAGCATTGTTTTGAAAATATGGTTTGCCAAGACATTATTTTGTCATAATGCTTCTTGTCTAATCTAAACACTGAAAAAGTCAAGATTTTCATGTATGAAAAATATATATATATATATGATTTCTAGTTGGAAAGGGTCTTCTTTCGCTTGTTGTTCTGCTAAATGGCAACAACCCTTAATGAGAGATTTTGCTTTAAACTGTAAATTCTTTTGAGTGTGAGATGCCCAGCCTGTCAGAATAAATAGAGGAGGCTAAAACTGCTTACTTTGAAAATGACTGTTCATTTTGGAAGGCACTGAGTGATCTCAGTGAAATATAACTGAGTCAGTTGAATTTTGGATAAAGATCAAATTCCCAGCATGTATTCTGGCAACATCTCTTCAATGATTCTATTCCTTAATATCATTTATGTTCAAGTAACACATGCAGGATTTCAGTCTTATAATGCTGCTATCATTCAGATTTCAAATAACTCTAAGTGACTCCTTATAGATTGTGTAAACAAATTTTAAATATTACTTTTATGCATGCTTATTTACAGATTTTTACACCTATGCTTTCTTTTACGTCTAAGAAGAAGTATTATAGAGCAGAAATCTTGCTGTAGTAGTAAGAGTTACCTGGAGAGTATATGTTTTAAGGTTGAATGTTGAATGTGGTTTAAAGTTTAATTGGCATGCCCGTAATAGATGGTAAGAGTTTCATATGGTTAACTCATCTTTCTCCAGGAAAATTATTTTGGACTGCTATGGCCCTGTTGCCTTTGCTTCCTAGACATCAGATCCTTCCAGAAAGTCACAGAAGGAAAACACTGGAAAATGAGAACAAAAGTGCATCAAATAAAAGAATGCCTCTTGAATCTGAGAGTTCATTTCAGGAGTGAAAATCTCATTTCTTGGATGATCTAAAGGGAAAAACTTCTAAATATATCATTGGTTAAATTAGAGAGAAAAATGCATGTAAAACATTTGTGCATAATGCCATGGTAAATAATGACTATTATTTAAGAAAATATTTTAGTGTGTGAAATGCAGAGTTGTAGCACACTAAATAGTTGCAAATAAAATATGGAAAGGAAAAGGTTTGTTTAAACTCTTTGTGTTTTTTGTGTTTTGTTTTGGTTTGGTTTTTATTTTTGTTGATTTGTTTAACTGGTAATTATAGGCAAATTAGTTTCATATTTCATGAAGAGTTAGCTTTTCTTCTACTGTTATATTGTCTATATAATTTTTATTTTTATTAAAAGATAGTAATTAGAAATTCTGTATCTTCCTGTTCTTTCTACCTTCTGGGTTTAAAAATTGAAACAGATTTTTTTTTTCAGCATTTTGATCTAAAAGAACATTTTCTGTCTTTGCAGGTTAACAATGAGAATGTAGTGAAAGTTGGCCACAGGCAGGTGGTGAACATGATTCGACAAGGGGGCAATCACCTAGTTCTAAAGGTTGTCACAGTAACCAGGAATCTTGATCCAGATGACACAGCTAGAAAGAAAGGTACATTTTTCTCTTTTCCTAATGGAGTCCTTCCAGTCTTGCTCCATAGAAAACAGGGTAGGAACAAGAAATTCTGAATTATAAATTTCCCTTTTTAAATTTGAAATAGTCTTCTGCTATTTAATTCAGAGTACTTTATATCTGATGACATACACGTTAATACATGACAAGAAGGATAGTGTTCCATTGTCATGCTTGACATGAAATTTCTATCTTTGTGGATCTTTATGCTACGTTGTTTGAAGATGTTGTAGTCAAACTTCTTGATGTGAGTGTCTTGCAGTAATGATGTAGAAAATCCACAAAGATCAGATTTGTATTTATTAATAAATTCAATACATACTTGAGGTTAATTTGAAGTTACTGAGAACTTACAGTTTAGCAAAACATTTTATAAGGGAACTCTATGAGCATAGGAAAAGCAAGTAATATATTTTGACTGAATTTCTGATAGAAAAACTGTACACTACAGTGGTCAAATCATTCTAGGTGAATACAAAGTGGAAGGATAGTTCCAGTCAGGGAGAATCCCCTCCTCCTTCTATAAGTTGAAAACATTCAAGTTCTATTTGTGCCATTTTACAGCTAACAAGAAAGCAGCTGATCCAGGAGAGGTTAGTACAGTATCATGTGCTGCAAAGACTTTGGGAAATAATTGTCTGAGTACAAACAGGGAAAGGTTGTTTTTTTTTTCCCAGTTTAAAAGTCTATTTTTTTCCTATATTAACTTTAATGGAGATTATGGGATAACCTATAAAGTAAGATTGGGCTATGCTCATAAGAATTGCAATGTTCTATACCCTCCACCTAAACCCCACCCACCCCCACTTCACCAAAAAAAAACCAGCAAAATTTCACAAAAAAAAAGTAAGAGAGAGAGGAATAATAAAAAAAAAGACCCCTCCAAAAAAATATTTGACACTATTTCCTTCACCTTAGATGCTCCTGAATCTGCTCAGGTAAAAGCTACTCTGGGAAGTTATTAGGCCCTCATAATTATCATTAATCAGAAAAGATTGCTGCTAGTAACTAGTGTTCAATTCAGCAGCATCACATTTTTGAAGACTCCTGTTCCTCCCACCAGTTTCTTGAATTGTCACTCACAGCCACCTGGCTTTTCAACACAAGAGTAGGCTGGGATCTGGCACCAGAGGGCTCCCTCTTTGTCCAGGAGTAAGACTTTCCTTCTAAGCTGTGAATGTCCTTGACATCTTCTTCTTAAAAACAAAGCAAAACAAACAAACAAAACCACTTATAGCACCTTGGGGGGAAAAAAAAAAAAAAGTTATAATAAAATAAATCATGTCCAAACACGGTTTACATGAATTTTAGCTTAATAGAATTACCATTAGCACATTCTAAACAAACATTTCACTTCTGCCTTTTGATGTGTCATACTGGCCTTACATAAAACTACTGTTGTATACAACAGAAAGCAAAGAATAAGTTTATTTCTATAAAAACACACCCCAGTTCTTTGCCATCTTTCCAGAGTTTTCTATTGGTCACATGTCATTTGCCAAAATGCCAAAAACATTCACCTTTCCATCTTGCCCCTTTTTGATGCAAGTTAGTAGCCTTTCTTCTCACCTGAAAAGTGCCATTTTAAGTTGGGAATTGTATGGAGGGATTTGCTTACCATCAGTCTCCTTCATGGTGGTGGCAGCATTAGCCTCAATTAAGAATCCAGTATTTTATGCAGTTTGCCTCAAAAATTTGCTGTCACTTCTCTTGTTGGGCAAGAGCAGAGCCGAGATTGGAGTTTATATTTGCAATACTTGAGCAGTAGATACCACATGCGTGACATTAAACCTGAGCTATATTTTTTAGTTTTATTGGCACACTCTTGTTCGAGCCTCTCTGAAAAGATGAAAGAGTTTAACAGGGGAAAGATGAAACTGACGTAGTGGATATAGCTGATACAGAAAGGCAGCTATACTTCCCTCCATTACTCTTTCTTTCTGCTTTGCCACCTTTTGTCAGAATGGTGTAGCATCATGTATGTTATTGACCAAAACACATCAGAATCCTTAATTTTTCCTGGTCCCAGCACCATTTCTACTTGCTGGAAACCTCCTGCTTTTCTGCCAACATTACTATAATCTTTTCTGATGTTAGTCTCCTTTCTGACCTCTGGAGTGGATTATTGTAATATATTCTCTGGTTTGGATACATTTGAAGATATCATAAAACATCTGTTAACAGGATACTAAAATAGATGCTTGTTCTGTGCTAACCAATTGACTTGATATTTTAAGATCTACTTTGTCTTACTTATTCTGAGAATCACCTGTTTTCTCTAGTCTCACTGTGACTATAGAGATAAATTTGAATCTTCTTTCTTGTATTTCTCAGATTTAACAGTTTCTTCAAAGATGAAATTAATCTGGCAGAGGTTGGCTGGTCTCCAGGAGATTTTTAGCTATGTACATTTCTTAGAAGGAGGGGCACAACTGCTGTGAGGCACTTTCTCTAACAAGCCTTTTTCCTGCTGAAAAATAGAAGGGCAGAGTTATTTAGCTTTAACTGTTTCTATGTATCCTGTTATATAAAAGCTTGCTGATGTGTCAAACAACCTACGCTAAAAGTAGAAACAGTACAGAAATTCAGTACCTGAAAAGCGTCTCAGGGTTTTTCCTCTGCATGTACGTATTTAATATTACCTTATTTAATGTGGCATATTCTTTTAAATAAATCTGAAATTATGTATGTGAATATAGTGGTTAAGAGATGTATATTTACTTATACTGTATATCCTTCTCTTTAATGCAAAGCCCCACCACCGCCTAAGCGAGCTCCAACCACTGCACTGACCTTGCGGTCTAAGTCAATGACCTCAGAGCTTGAAGAGCTTGGTAAGAAAGTGTTTTTTGACAAGCATGCTGGGATAATAGAAATTTAAATATATATATATGTTGTGTTCAATTGATTTAAAAGAACTGCACTGTGTACAGTATATAGAGCAGAAAGGGTTTTAAGAATGCTGCATCTTTGGAGATTTAAATATGCATGATTTGCATGAATAATTTTTTAAAAACTTGTGCCTTTACTGCTATGCAAGAGAATGTTGATACATTTTTATGCATCATCAAAGTTTGGCACATTTACTAAAAAGTAATGCCGTATCATATTTTGTTAGCTTTGCTTTCTAAATTTTCAGTTCATCTAATATTGTTTTATTTTAAATTTCTGTGGCCTCTCATTAGTGGATAAAGGTAAGCTGCCAGAAGCTGTTGTTAAAAAAGCTGACAGTGTTAAAGCAGCTTCAACTTCAACCTGTTTTCATTAGCCTCTGATCTGAAAAACTGTATATAATGATGTCACTTTGACTTTTGTGCATGATATGAGATTAATTCTCCTCACTATTGGTAATAAAAGTATTGAGCATTCAGTCTTTTATTTGCTTTGCTAATTCTAAGAAATGTGATTGTAGATTCCTTTACTGAACATCCACATTCTAAATATGCATAATTCTTTGGGATTTTTTTTTTTTATTTTATGAAAGTGAGGAAAGTAACAGGGTTTTTTTTTCTTTTTTCTTTTTTTTTCCTCCCTGATTTTTATCTGTTAGGTCATTAAAAAGTATAATTTCTGCACCTAGACTAAAAAATATGTTATGAATGGACTGTATATACAAAGAGAAAAGTCCAAGGTATATAAATATATGGTTATTTCACCAGAATAGTGTGTTTAGCAAATGATGTTTGGTGTAAAAACTAACCACGTCCCTCATTGAAGAATAATACAATAGTGCTAATTTTTCCACTGCTGTGGAAATAATTGATTTAAATACTTATGTTTTGTAATCATTTTTATTTTTGGCATAGACTCATATGAAGGCCAACCTGAGGGAATCAAAGCATTGTGGATAAATGGCTACAATTTTTTGATATAAGTCAATTTTTTCTGGGGCAGATGGACCCCATCTATCCTTTAGCGAGTCAGAAGACACATAGTTTCAGTGGGAGCTCTGACCAACAAAGCAGTGCAGGAATGGTTTCTGTCTTCTCTGCGGCATAACAACCAAATGAAGACAAAATTAAACATCCTGATTACTTATCCCTAACTGAGCTCAGAAAATTCAGTTAGCCCATCACAAGAACTCTAGGAGCCTGACCAAAGTTTTCAGCACATTGTGAATGCTCCATAATTTTTCTTACAGAATTAAAATGTGAAATATTATTTCTGCACACTTTTTTATTTTGGGATGTTTTGATTTGGAGTTTGCATGGAGTGCTAGCAAGCTGTAAAACATTGCTGGTTTGTCAACAAACTTTCCCAAGGAGGCAGGAATACTTAGGTTCCATTTTTCCCCTTCATTATTCCCTTCTGCAAATCACTTTCAAAATGAGGATATTCTGAGAATATATCTTGTATTTCTCTTACTTTTCAGTCTTACATAGTATGTACTGTTCTTAAAGCAGAGAGAAGCAGCACTCTTTTGTAGGGGAAAGTCACTTATTAACAGTAAAGTCACCTCTGCAATGAAGAGCATTGCAATTTATCTTACTCATCCCCTAATTCAGCAAATAGTACTTGTTCTGCTGTTTGGTCTCATTGGCTAGCAGAAACCACTGCAACTTTTGTGGCTAGCAGCCATAGGACACACTTGAATCTTGAAGCAAGTTTCCCACCCATATCTTTATCCAGATGGGGCAAATATTACGGTGGCAAGACTTTACTATTCTGAAGAATAGTCCTAAAACATGCTCCAGAAGTGTACGTCCCCTAACAAATTGTAGTAATACTGGAGCATGGCAGATATTTATCATCTTCCTAATGGCTATAAATACCAGTTCCACATGATACTGTGAACATTTGCCATCTTAGCAAACTATGACTACTGTTATAAATAACATCTGTGATCTACCTATTTTAATATTTGTCCTGTAAAAGGACTACCAGTAGAAGGAACAAGAATTCTTAAATTGCACAACAACTGAACAAGTTTCCAAAGAGATAATGTTCTCACTATCATCAGTTAAAAGTTGTCTTCTGACGTAAAACGCAATTGTATGTGTGTATATATATATAATTTATATATCTTTATATGTATATGTGTATATATTGGACATCTGTATAAACTATGAGAACACCCACATTTTTATGTCCATTAAACTATTTAAAGAATAAACATTTGTTTTATAAAATATATGTACAAAATAAATAGGAAGTATGTATAGAACACTGTGGATGTTCTCATCAATATATGTGTAATCTTTTTTCTGAACTTAAGAAGCTCATGGTCTCAATAATGTCTCGTGGCAATGAATTCCACAGGCTAATTATGTGCTGTGTACAGATGTATTTCCTTTTTATTGGTTTTAAATGTGATGCCTTTAATTTTATTGAATGTCCCTTGTTATGTAGTATAAGAAAATGTTAAATAGAAATTCCCAATTTGTTTTCCCGTAGAGTATATATTTTTGTCAGTTTTCCTAGCTAAGCTAAACAACATGATTTTGTATTTATTTATTTTTTAATTTATACACCTTGCAGTCTTTGCAGTCACTTTCTTTGCCTGGCTCTGAACTCTACTTACGGCTTTATTAACTGATTTTTAGCTGCCCTATTCTCCATAATACTGAGCAGACCATCTCAGTTGTTCTCTTTCAAATGAATTATTCCAAAATATGGTAGATAACATCTGCTAGCAATTCCTTTCCACTTCAATCTGCAAAGATATTAAAATGCTCTATTATAATAATTTCATTAAGTTGTCCCAGTTACTGCTTTTTAAAAAGAATGTAGAGAAACATCATACATGTATCCCTACTATATGCAGGGGAGCAATTTCTTACAGTTCATGTATAAACCCTGATAAACTGGGCTTTTGCCAAGCTGTTTATCTACAGTGGTTTGATAGGTTCATGCATAGTACAGGTTAGCAGGGAGAGACTGACTTCTTAGATGGAAGAAAAATGTTTGTGCTCAAAATAACAGACGAGGATTTAGCATATAAAATTACCTTCAGAATTGATTCACAGTTCATTCCCTTTCTATTTCCAAGCTTCAGTACGGAAGAAGAAGGGTAAGGGGAAGCATTTTGTCTCTTGTTTAACCTGTTTCTCACCTTTCCATAGTGAAGGATAATAACATAATGTAAATGTTGGCATATGGTCCAGTTTATTTTATGGTGTCAAATGTACATTAGTTATTGTATATGTTTTTTAGTTATTTAGTTAATAAATTGCAAACACACTAAGAACTTAAGCAGAAGACTACATCTGAAAATACTCCCCACATTTCTTCCTTTTGTCTCATCTTGCCTTTCTTTCCTTCTTTGTATCCAACTCTTTTCCAAACCCTTCCATATCATCTCACAGTTACTGTGCTAACTGGCAGCCACAGAGAATATGTGGCCAGTAACACATCCTCAGTGTAGTCCTACGTTAGTGGTTTCACTTGTCCTTTTAATGGCCAAAAGTTACTCACGTACCCACACTGTCTCTGTCTCAGGAAATAGGGATCTTGCACACAACATTTGATTTTTTGACCTGGAGAAATGCTGCTCTGCACAATTTTAAGTTTTTGATATGACATCTTCCACACTGTCCCGTATGCATGGAGTGCCCTCCCTGAACTGATTCATAAGGCCACTACCTTCTCCCTGAAATCTCTCCTTAAAACCCACTTCCCCTATGATCCTTATTAAGCTATCATCTAAGTAATGGCTAGGGAGAGGGACAGGTAGAGGTAGCAATGCTAATTTAATAGTTTTTATAAGCGTAACTGTATATATATATATGTATACAAAGTTTGTTTGTGTTTAGCTGTATTTTTCCATACTCCTGTATGTCATTTTACTTTTTTAGATTGTAAGCTCTCCTGAGCAGGGACTGTGTCATTTACACGTTTTCATGGCGTCTAGCCCAAGGAAGAGCCTCAAACTTCTCTCGGCCCCTGGGTGATAGCTGGTAAAACAGTCTGTGTCCTGCTCTTTGACAAAGTTCAGTGTCCCTGAAAGAAAAGCTAGGCTGTAGGCAGTGTCTTCTCTCAGTAGTGGAGCTTTTGCTTTTTATCATTAAACAGGAAAAAATCAGGTTATTTTCCTCTTTTTTTTTTTTTCCTGTTCTTTCCTGACCTCCTTTTCAGTCGTTAACACGGGTTCCAGCTAGTAGTATTTTCCATTCTCAATTCAAAGAATATAATAAATAAACCCCATTGCTACTGGTATTTTTCTAAAACATATGTTTGGCAGCATATCAAAAATTTTTACATTGTTATTGTAGAGCTTTCTGTCAAGCAAAAATACAGTTTTCTGGGTTATAGGTGAGGGAGGCATTAAGATGGAACTGATGGCTTTTGTGGTTCTGTTTGACCGCTTTTGGTTGTCTTTGGATGGTGGTTCTGGTTCATTGGGAGGCTGGAAGAAGGGAAGTGCATAGATGGTGTTTTTATATTCAGGGTAGACGATATTTGGTCTAAAGTGATAGTTAATAAAATCGTTAGGTCACAACAAGTTCATAGTATGTCACAGGTGGTATTACCATGTTACTGCAGTTTCATAGCACAAATTACTAAAAGGTAAACTGTACTTAGTCTGTGCCACTGACTTTCTACTTTCAGCAACTGCCTAACTTGGAAAAATAACATCCAACTTCAAACTGTGTGTTTGAAGGAGATGTGATTCTAACAGTAAAACTATTTTCTGGATTTTATGGGATGTCAAGGACATCCCATAAATCATGTATTTCCTTTCTTACTTGTAGGTTTTCAACAACGGATAAACTAACAGTTGTAGCAGCAAGTTTTTTGGAGGCAGTACTTACAATATGTTTCTAGGTAATATGTAGTTAGCCTATTAAAACCAAAGTGTTCATGCAGCAAATTAAAATGAAGATTTGAAAATACTCTAAAAATAAAATATTAAAAGAAAAAATATTAAACTCCTGATGCATTTGTTCCAATTATAATTTTCATCGTCACTAAAAAAAAAATAGATATTAGAGTTTCAAAATGAATATTTTAAAATAATAAATTTAACAATTCATAAAAATTTTACATGTCTCATGAAAAGCTTGCTTTTGGAGGGTTTTACTTTCAGTTTTTATTTTTATGTGCTTTTTGATAACTTCTTGTGAATGGAGAATTTTAAAGTGATATGATACTTAATGAATACATTCATAAACTAAGATCTGTAAATATCTAAATGCATGATTCAAAAGTTTCATGCTGATGATAAGCTTTTTAATGCCAGAAGTGAGTTTGATTTAGTAAGTAATTTGTGCTTGTCAATGGAAGGTAAAGTAGACAGTTTAAATTAAAAGCTAATATAAATATCCTTGGGAGATATCTCGAAAATTTAAGAGAAAGTAGAAAAATAAGAATAGAGTAGGCTAAATTTTCATAGTGAAATAGAATGATAAGATAATTCTTCCGTATCAAAAATACTGCTTTGACAGTGTCACAAGAGTGTCAGTTGTGATCTCTGGGGGTTTGGTGGGATTTTTTTATATATATTTGATATGTAATCTAAGTAAAATAATCCCTCTGTATGTGTTGATGCTGATCTTTGGGTTTTGTTGTGGCCTAAAGTACCCTATACAGACGTAGGATTTTCTCCTTTAAACAGTTTAGATGCTAGTGCTGTCTCTCTGATACAGAATAACTGTGATATCATCAACATAGGGTATTATTACCTGGCACCAGGTCTTAGCGACATTTGAATGGAAAAAATATCAGTTGTTGGCATTCAAAAGAAATATTATTAGCTCTGTCTGCAATAAGCGTTCACACTTCATCTCATACCTGTTGTCCATTGTTTCAAAGGTGGCACATTCTAATGGCATCTGAAACAATGAAATTGCAGAGCAAATATATATAAATGAATGCCAAACAGTGGATTAGCTTAATGTGTTATGTTGTGTTTGAAGAAACCACTCACAAAAGACGTCTGGGTTCAAAGTCATTTTTTTTATTTCAATATGATGGAGTTGATGATGGAGATTTGTCTGCAGGAAACAATGGAAATGCCATCAAAGCAACTCTTACAGCACTGACAGCATCAACTTCTTTGATAGTTTCCAGTATCTACAGTGCTTCTATGTAGGAAGAAGGTTTTCTGATCTTCACCAGACACTGTATTTTAGAAGATGAGATCAAAAGGCATCAGGCTTAATGAAGAATTCTTGAAGATTGTCCTCGTAAGTAATTGATTTGCATTACCTATTTGAAATTCTAATAAGATAGCAATGATAAGATAAAGGTTGTCATACAATTGTCATTTTCAAAAGCATGAGGCAGTGACTCTGAGTGGAATTTGTGATGTACATATGTGACAAAATATGGCTCCATCTTCATGCTGGTGGAGCAAGGCTACAGGTTTTATGACTTGTGGTTTATCTCATGTGGAGTCCTCAACAATGTAAGAAGGTATAGGATTTGGAACATACCTACAACATACCTGCTTTTAAAACACTTCATAAGAGAAAAGTATTGAAATTCAGCATGTTTCAAGGAGAAAAATGCTAAGCCTAGATTTTCCACAGGGAAAAAAAAAAATAAATATAATGTGCTGATTTTTAGCAACTTTTGGCATAGAAACTTAACAGGTAACTATCAGGACTGAATACTTCTTCAAAACAAGGTTTATACTGCTTAATGTGGGAACTTTAACTGACATTTTGAAAACACTGGGAATCCCTGAGCAGAGAGGTCAATTGAGTCACTGTGTGGGTGTTCTCCTCATTTACACTAGTATTGTTTTGATTTTGTTAGATTATTCTCTAGTGTTTTTAGTGCCCTTTCATAATACTTGTTTTCTTTGCTACAGGACAGTAATTGAAAAGGTTTTCAAAACCTTTCTGCATCAACCAACAAGACAATGGTATAAAAGAAGTTGGAAAAAGAATTGTAAGTGTTAAAGAAAATGTGGGTTTTGTAGCATTTGGAGCCAGATGAATGAAACATGTTGGCATATGTGAGTGTCACTTGTTATATTCAGATATTATTAACTGAATATCTAACAACATACTCATAATCATGGGTGCTTGAGGAACAGTTAAAAATGCATGTATTTCCCAATATCGTACAGTTAGGGCAATGGAAAACTTTTCAAAACTTTTAATGTATTCTCTCTCTTTTTCAGGAGCCAGGGAGATGAAGGACTTATCTCCCTCATCTCAAAACTCCCTTTGCTGCTATTTCTCTCTCTCTTTTTTTTTTTTTTCTTCAAATGTTCATATGTCCTTGTTAACTAATTCCTAATATAATTGAAAATAAATGTTTTTAGATACTTCATCATAGTTTGCTTGTTTTTTCCCCTTGGTGTGGAAGTGAAGTGTGGAAGTAAGTGTAAAAACAGAGAAGGCTGCAAGTGACTTAGGTCCTCCACCTTTCTTTTTGGTTTCTTTCAGTTGCTTGTCTTTGTTTTGTAACAAGGCCAAATTTTCAAATGCTGTCTCTTAAACAGAACATCAAATTGCCACTTAAATTCCACCTGGCTTGCAGGGTAGGAGTGGGTATTGACTATATTCTCTGCTTTGTTTTTGTTCTTAAACAGAAACCAGTGTTAGACAATGACCATTCCTCTTTCAAGGTAGGCTGAATTGTAAGGCTGCAGGATTGCAGGTGCATTTTAAATCCCTATATACTAACTTCATTAATTGAACATACTGTTAAAGAGCTGGTACTTGAAAATTGTATCTATAGAAATAATTTGGACAAATATCAATTTTCTGCCTTCCTTAAAATTACTTTTGGTTGTGTGATTATAATATGTTAATGTGACTTGTATGTACTAATGTGGAGATGTTTTCAAGCCTAGAAACCCAAATAAGACTTTCTTTAGAGAAAGTTTTGGTAGTTCCTTAATGTGAATACATACAAATCATTTTGTATAAAACATTTAATGGTATTTGTGGATATTCAATGTTAAATGATTAATTTTACTCATTAAGCAATTTTTATGTTTTACTGATTTATTTTACATAATTTTCCAATTTTTGAATTTTTGTGTACGTTGTAGAGTTTACAGTATCCCAGACAATATACACGTATTTTTACTCAGTTTTCATGAAAGGAAGGTGT